CCTCAAGGGTATGTTGCATTTTTTCTAAAATGTCATTATGTTCTTTCTGTAACTTGACCAATTCTTCTTTGTGCTTCTTCTCAATAGAAGAAATTATCTTCTCATCATTCTTGGAATTGGGGTTCAGTAAATCAAATTTTGGGTCAGAACTCTCAATGGGAGTTGTAAGGGTTGTGCTAACAGTACTTTGCGAATTCTCAGATAGTCGAAGTTGATTACTTGAATCCGAATTATCTCGAGTATGTTTTTTGTATTGAAGGAGAGTAGTTTCTATGTTGCTAATAGGAGTTTCGGATTTATTGTCAACAGTGGAAGGTGATGATTTATTCGTTGTTGTTTCTTTTGTTTTGGTAATCTCGAGATCCGAATCCAAAGCTTGTATTCTAGAATTTAAAGCGGCAATTTGAGCAGCCGTAGCGGATGATGTTTGCGATTTCGAAGCTTCTATTTTGTCTTTAGATGGTGTTTGTGATTTCGAAGCTTCTATTTTGTCTTTGGGTGGTGTTTGTGATTTCGAAGCTTCTATTTTGTCTTTGAATGGTGTTTGTGATTTCGAAGCTTCTATTTTGTCTTTGGATGGTGTTTGCGATTTCGAAGCTTCTATTTTGTCTTTGACAACGTTTCTGGCAAAATTTCTCGTAGGGACTTTCTCGACTTTATCATTTCCCTTGTCGTTAGCCTGAAACTTTGCTATGGCAGAAGCAACAGTGGATAACTTAGCTTTGGGTATATGACTGCTCTTATCGGCATTTGGAATACTTTTCGACGCCATGAATTTTTTTTACTCTGGGTTCAAAATTGCGTGAACGGTTACCGCAAAACTCTAGATATTAACAGCGAGAATGTAAGACAAAAAAGTAAATTAAATGAGTGCATCCTTAATGTGTGCAGTTATTTGTATCTTTAAATGCGGTCGAAACTTGTGGGAGGTAGGGTAACAATATGTTTGATGTTAGACCTTATTGGGTTAGCCGCACATTTTTGCACGAATCCGAAACGAGGACGTCGATCTTATTTTAGATTATATATTAATTGACAAAATGCTATACTGTATACAGCAGGTTTATAAATAGCTGATCACCGATAATGTTTTACATTGTATTAAGGTACGTTATTTCGTTATTTATTAAAAAATTAATAAAATTCAAAAAATTATTATGTTAAATAATATATAAGGTAAGGATGAATATGGTAATGTATAACATATTTTGCTAATTGAAAACTATAAAATGTTGACTAATATTATCTATAATATTAATCTTTAGCCTGACTTTAAGTTATATGGCCTATATTCCGCCTTTTACTCACATTTTTTAAGAAATCTAAATTATTTTGACAAAATTTTTCTAGTTGATTAATAGTTTTATATAATTGATTAATTATAACTTAAAACTTTATTGTATTTTCAAATATCTTAAATTAAGTTTAAATTAAAAAATTGATTTAAAATATAAATTGTATTACTATTATTAATATATAATGTTTTTTTAAAATATGTATGAAATTAGGATTTCCAAAGGTACCAAATTTACTATAAGTTTAATATAGTGAGTTACAATTCCTATATTAAATTTATTTCAAGTTGATACTATTTTGATATCAGTTCAGAATCCTATAAGAAATATAAAACTATAAAACTTTATTTAAACAAAAATATAAATAATAGTTAATATTTAATTATAAATTAATTTTTAAACTTTTTATTATAAATTTATATGTTAATTCTAAAAGTTTGTAACAATTTAAAATTTTTTAAATAAATTATTTAATAATATTTTTAATACTTGAAAATTGAATATAATTTATAAAAAATTTAAATATCATTTTACTATAAAATTTATATCATTATAGTTAATATGTTTCAAGCTATATATATTTTTTATAAAATTTTTATATAGTGATTTTTGAATAACAAAAAAATAAAAATTTTTGCAACATAATAATATGGTTATGCGTGTTCAGGCTGCACCATCAAACCCCAACAATCTAATCTTAGCAGTTTTATGGTTTTATGGGTCCAGGCTGCATCTCCAAAACCTTAACTTTTATTTTTTCTCACATATCTATCATAGTCACAAAATTATTTTCCCACCATTCTCTCTAGCCATGCAAATTGCTTCTTTAATGTCTACCCCTAGCCACATATATTACTCTCTTAACGTCTACAGGCATAAGCCATTCATGAATCACTTCTACTGTGATACCACTTACGTAGTATAATATTGTTTTAGAAGTCTACATGCGATAGGCTAGCAATAACTTAAATGGATATTTAATGTACTGATTAGATTTTTAATAATCAATAAAATCGCACGTTTTATGCTCGTTCGCAGTAAAAAAAAAAAAAATTTTGAAACATATACAGTATATACATCATATGTTCATTTCTTTTTTCTCTTGCATTATTCTTTCATTACATTGTTTGTTCCTATGTATTTTTGAAATTTTACTGTTTATGATCTGTTACGCCGCAGCAGGAACAAAGTTGCGTTTTTTACAATTGATGGATCACCAAACAGAGAAAAGGGTCTCAATGGAATATTATCCATTTGCTGGAAATTTGAATGATCATAGCAATTTCTTATCGGAAACGTAGGAATATATAAAAGGTCATCCAGGGCTTGTTCAAGTAAAAAAAGGCCCTAGTATTAGTAGACAAGGAATTTACAAAGTTGTGTTAGAAACACAAGGTCATGTTTGTCATTTGAGAAACGAAAGCGAAACACGTGTAATGTCACAGAGTGTGTCCATTAGACTAAATTGGTTGCATAAAGGTGACATCCGGTTACCAAATATTTTCTTTATTCCTGGTGGCGCAAATATACAGTAAGTATGTTCTTATCGATTTTGAACTTGCTAATATGGTAGATTAGTAGTGTCTGAACAGTCGAAGGATTGCGACAGTAAAACTCTCACGAAGCATAGTAAGCATACAATGCAATCTGATTTGTATCAACTCAGAAATAGGCTTAGGAATCTTAATACATGAATTCAGAAGCCGAAAAATATTTTTAAACTAGTATAAAAAATTTACTTCAGTATACATTTCTATTATTGTATTTTCCTCCCCTGCAAAAAACTGATCGGCATCCATTTATTATTTCGCAAGCGCTTGACAAATTCGTTACTAAATGACAAACATCGAAGCGACCATTGACTTATATGCGGAAATACCCACTTTCCATCCTGATTATAATAAACCTTTTATACTGTAGATATGTGTCAAAAGAGTTTTTGATCCTATTTTACCTGAAAAAATTATAAAAAAGTTATCATGTTTGCGTCATAAACCAATTGGTTATACACAGGCAAAAAGTTAAAGGATTTTTGTTTCTCGGATAAAGCAATACAAATTGATTCTTTGGATAAATCAATCCAAAGATAAAGTATCGATTTCTTTAGAGCAAATTAAAAAGGCTAATATATTTTTAACTGATGCAATATGTATTTATAAATATCTATAAATTATTCTCAATTCTAGCGTAATATGCCTGTGTCTTTTCTTTGACTTCAAATTTATAGTGTGCAAAATAACTGAGCTCAAAAATTGTAAATACATTTGTATATTGTAATCATTTTTGCCAAATATATTTTAATGCTGAATATATTTTAATTATTGTATCAATTTATTCTTTATATCATCACCATTATTATTATTATTGTTGTTGTTGTTGTTATTTTAAGTAAATAATGTACATGATATAGAAATGGAAGCAAACCAAAAGGAAGTAGGATCTGGTATTATATAGTCTCCATGCATATATAGTTCTTCCCATAACAGTTTTATATTTTGATAAACACATAAGTATTGTAAATAGTTTTGATGTTTGATTAAAAGAAAGTAAAAGCAGTTATTTTGTCCAGTTTTGAAATAAGACCAATAGAACTCTTATAATTGTTGAAATTAAAGAAATAGAAAAATAAGCAAATTCTAAGGTTATATTTTTTGATTAGAAGTGTATTAATACTAATCAGAAATTAAAAAAGTAGTAAGGAAAGCCAATTGGATAGTATCAAATTGTGTATTAAAAGAATTTTATTTTTGATAAGAGATAGAGTTTTTGAACTAGTTAATTTAATTATTGAAATTTTGATAACAATAAAATTAAACAATTTTAAAGTTTAATTATATAGGTAATTATTTTCAAAGGTAGACCAGAAATTTTTTGGTGTAATTCTAAAATTTATATTATATATGTATTGTTTAAAAGCTGGGTCCAAAAAATCATATCTAGTATTTTTGTCACCTTCAAAAATAATTACCCATATTTAGACAAGCTTATAAATATAAAATTTTGTTAGAAATTATATATTTTACTTCTAGTTTTGTTCTAATTGCTTTATTTATTCTTAATAATAAAAGAACTATTTCTTTATTAAAAAAGATAATAGCATTAATAATATGATCAACTTGAAAAGATATGATTCAACAAATAACTTATTTATCTATAAAACAATTATATCTTTTTTAAGAAACAATTATAAAAGTAAAGTTTTAAACTTTTTTTAAATTATTTTTTGTAAATAAAATAAAACATTTTTAAACAAATAAATATCAAAATATTTAATACTTTTTTATACAACTTAAAGTATATTTTATTTTTTAAATAAATAAAAACTGGTTTTTTTATTGTTTGCTTTAAAATTAATAATAATATCAATTTTTTCTTTTGTTATATTTAATAGAATTTAAAAACAAAAAAAATAAAAGATATTTTGCAATAGGTTAAAATTAATTTACAATATATATAAAAATTCTTAATATAATAATTATAAACTTTTATTTAATAAAAGTTTCATATTTAATACCTATTTGTAATTTAAAAAACTAAAAATATTTGTTATATCTTAAAATAAATTAAAATTAAAACTTGTAATAACAATAATATTTATTTATATAAAATGAAGAAAAATTTTTTAAAATTTTATAATTATTGAATTATAAAAAATAATTCAAAGTAAAAAACTAATGTTTTATCTTGATCTGAATCTTTATTAACAATTAAAAAATTAGAGTTTATAATAAATTATAATTTTTAATTTTTTTTTATTTAAAAAATTACAGTGATAATAAAAAAAAATAGTACTGATATTTTTATTATAATTTAATAAATAATAATTTAATTAAGATAAAACTTTAAATATATATATATTATAATCTAATTAATAAAATATTAAAGTTTTATTAATGTTTAATTAATAACTTTATTCAAAAATATTGATTTAAAATTTAAAAAAAAAATTTCAAAAAATGTATTATAAATTATATATTTATATTTATATATAAAATATAAATAGAAATTAAAATTTTACTAAAGAAAAATTTTAAAAAAAATTAAATATAAAAATAAATAAAATTTTTAGACTTATAAAAAAATTATAAAAAACTTATTATTATATTTAATAAATGTTATTAAAATTGGTTTGTTTTTTTATTATATAAAATTATTTTTAAAAAATATCTAAAACCTTTAAAAACTCTAAGTT